AAGCAAGTGCAGGGACCCAGGTTCTATCCCCAGCACCATGTGCCACACCAGCCCTGCCCCTGGCCACTCTTAGCCGGCCACTGAGACCAGACATGGTGGTGCACACCTGTAATCCCAACACTGGGGAGGCTGAAAATAGGAGGATCTCTACAAGTCTGAGCTGCATAATGAGACCCTACACCAAATACACAGAAATAAAAACTAAATGCCTATTGATTCCCTAGATTGGCAGATATTGGACAAGTTATGCCACCTCATTATTTTAGTGACATTTCATCTTTTTGGATCTGGAGAGAATGTCTTCTTTGTTGGCACTGTTAGGCAGTTAAGCATCAGGGCACAGTTCATCCTGCTCACTTTCACTAAGGTCTCTGTGCACCTCCAGAGAGGACTTTGGCTCCAGCTCAGACCTGATGACCACTCGATTGTGCATTGAGGACCACACAGAAAAGGCCTTGCAGACACTGTGCAGCTCTGCTAGACGAAGCCTGTGGTGCTCAGACTTCAGGGAGAGTTCCGAGCACCTGGGAGTCTTGCTAGAAGGCGTGACCTGAGATGCCGCCTGCTTATTGCTGAGGTGAAAGTGAGGGTGCCAGTTCTTGGACCACAATTTGTAGTACAAGGTACTAAACTATCTAGCTTCCCTTGAGTCTTGAAAGAAATTATTGTTTGCTTCCAGAGTCAAGGAGAAAGGCCTCCAAATGTTTCTTCCTTTGTGTCCTTGTGTGTGTGTGTGTGTGTGTGTGTGTGTGTGTGTGTGTGTAAGTATAAAATTCAGGCTTGATATTGACCATATTATTTGCGTTGATGTTTCCAAACAAAAGTTTCTGTAAGATCTATTTTAAGTATAAGATATTTTGGTCCAAATTGCTTCCTCTACTGGTTCAAATATTTTGGGGGTTTGTTTGTTGTTTCTTCTTGACCTTAAATTTTGAAAGTCATACCTCTACTATAGATAATATTATGAAGTATGTGGCTCAAAATTTCTAGAATCATCTATGAGATGTCCAACTACCAGCCGCGTCTTGGGGCAAGAAGATATAAGGCTTCTTTAGTCTATAAAAGCTAAATACAGAACTCTGGGCATCAAGAGGACTAAAATCAGATGCTCATATTACTCTAGAATTAGCTCCTTGACTTCTTTATGCTGTTTTATGAAAGGTCAATGGGAATTTTGTAGATTTATTCAGAGCTTTCCTATCCCTATGTATATGTAGTTATTGTCCATATCACTCATTTTTTAGTCTGACAAAGAATTTGTGGTACTCACAACAGGCACAAATATTGAAACAACTATACTGAAGCCCAAGATCAAATTGTACAACTGATATAAATTACACATTTTCAGAAACTGTTTTGAAAAGAAACAGAAATATTTTATTGACTGCGGACTCTGTACAAGTAACCAAAATAAAGTTGCTCAGTCCAGGAATGCATTTGTAGAAAAATAGTACTGGGATGAGCAGGATGATGAGCTTTCTCTATTTTGAACTGACAAAGCTACACGTATACTGTGGTACAGTATTAGAGGAAGGAGAGTGACTGAGTCAGAGAGGGTGATAGCAATGTAAGAGGATAGGTATTCAGATTTGCCAGGAACAACATAAAAGATCAGTGGAAAGAACAGACCAAGGTGGAGAGAGAGCACCAAAATGTGCTATAAATTCAGAGAAACTGGAGTAATTACCTTTGAAGTATGTACCTTATAACTTTCGAGTAGAAGTTAGTAAAATATATGGGTGGATGGATGGATAAATGAGTGGGTGGATGGATGGACGGATGGGTGGGTGGATGGATGGATAAATGAGTGGGTGGATGGATGGGTAGCTGGGTAGATAGAAAGACCAGGCATGCTGCCAAATATGGTTATGCTAGGTAATTTCATTCACCAGATCCTCTGAAATTAATCTTATCTCCATGTGAAAACTGACAGGCATAAGGCCTACAGACATTAAGTGACCTGTCCAAAGTCTTTGACCAGGTAACCCCCATACTTTGGACTGTTAACCTTTGTTTATTATTCTGTGTGACAGCCAGAGAAGGTCACTGTTCAAATCCTTCTTAAAGAAATCACTTGCTGGCCAGCAACAAGCAGTGCAGGTAGTTATCATCCCATCCCCTCAGGACCTGCTTCTGCTCTTCATCAGAAACCACTGACATTTCTGAAGAAGTCTAGCCACATGCATAGTGGAGATCAGGGCACTTCTGGACACCTCTGCCACTTTGGGTGTTGTTGTTGTTGTTGTTGTTGTTGTTGTTGTTGTTGTTACAGGGTCTCACTATGCAGCTCAGACTCATAGTAAGCCTCCTGTTTTCAGCCTCTCCAGAGCTGGGATTACAGAGAAGCACCACCCCACCCAGTCTCAATGGTCAGCTCAGTATGCCCAGTGGCAGGGTCGGTGTGGCATGTGGTGCCAGGGATTGAACCCAGGTCCCTGCGCTTGCTTAAGCAGGAGCTTAATCTATTGAGCTATCTCACTGGCCCACCTCTGCCACTTTGGGCCATGTCTCAGTTATTTTGCTCTGGAACAAAATATCTAACATCCAAAATTAAGGAAGGGCCCTGCCCCTGGGGTGTGCTAAGACAGTGATGGAGACTGGGCATGGTGGTGCATGTCTGTAATCCCAACTTTTGGGAGGCTGTAAATGGGGAGATCGCTACAAATCCATTCTAGTAGTGAGACCCTGAACACTCTGTAGACCCTTCCCTAAAATACAAAAAAAAAAAAAAAAGAGAAGAAAAAATTAAGGAAGAAGGGCTGCTGAGATAGCTCAGGGGACTAAGCACCTGCTTAAGCAAGCACAGGGACTCAGGTTCAATCCTTGGCACCATATGCTGCACCAGCCCCACCCTCAGGTGCACTGAGCCAGCCACTGAGACCAGGTATGGTGGCGCACGCCTGTAATCCCAGCGCTGGGGAAGCTGAAAACAGGAGGATCACTATGAGTCTAAGCTGAGTGAGACCCTGTACCAAATACATTAAAATAATAATAATAACAACAACAAAATTCGGGAAGGAAAGGCTTATTGAGATCATGAATTAATCACAAACTCTAGAAGCCTACAGTCCCATCACTACATGAGGCCTTGGGAGGACACCTAGTCCGGAACCATAGCAGGCCATGGCTCCTTCCTCAGGAGCTCCCTGGTGAGCTCTCATGGCTTTGTCAGAGCAGCATTGTGATCTGAGGCTTGAACTGCCTGCCTTGACCTCCTCCTCCCCTCTTACCATGTAAAAGTTGCTCTGAGTAGACTTCTTATACTCCACAATCCACCCTCATTTGTTTGGTTGTGAACCCAGTAACACACTGTGATCACAAGTATTTTGAGCAAGCCAAGTGTGGTGGCACATGCCTGTAATCCCAGCGCTCTGGGAGGCCAAAGCAAGAGGATCAAATGTTCAAGCCAAGCCTGGAACAACTGAGTAAGACTAGGTATCAAAGTAAAAACTGAAAAGGAGAATGCAGCTCAGTGTAAAGGCCCTGGGTTCAATCCCTGGTGCCATACACAAAATTCTTATTTTAATTTAAAACGTCATAATAGGGGCCGGGGAGATGCCTCAGTTGAATTCAATCCTGAGTTCAATCTCTGGTACTGCAAAAAAAAAAAAAAAAAAAAAAAAAAAAAAAAAAAAAAAGTCATATTAAGGTGGAGCATTTAGAATTATTCTCTTTGGTGACAGAGTTGAATTGGGACAAAATAGCTCAACTGCTAGAGAAGCAGCTTTCACATATATGTAAGCAAGAACTTCCTAATACCTAGAACTGCCAAACCACCCACCTCCAGATGAAGCTCCCCATCACATGATCATTAGGCTGCCTAGAGAAGTGCCTGATGTGTGCAGCTGGTGGGCTGTGACACTCCCCTCCCGCACTTGCTGGAGCACTTTGGTCACTAGACGTCAGCAGTGCTAACTTGCCAGCAAAACTAAATTGTTCAGAAAGCCACATGAAACACTCAGCGTCTGACTTTTCAGTGGTCCAGGGGGCTTGGTGTGGTACATCCACACCTGTCTTCTCCCAGAGAAGGTCAGTGATACTAGAAACCCAGCTGGCCATTGTCCACATATTTTTAAAGCAAAGAACCCCTAGCAATGAGGCAAGGCTGTGGGCTGGGTGAATTTCACATATGCATAGCTTAAACAGTATAGCACAAGGGGCACCATCGGGTAGAGTTCTTGTGCCTCCACTGGTACATGTTTCTTAGGCCCAAAAATATGCACATTACAGCCAGAAAGACGCTCTGTCCCCAGATCTAGTCTCTTCTCTCCTTTTATCAAGACACAGGCACACCAATGAGAGGACATATATGGCTTCTTGCAAGATTTCCGTGATGGCCAAATTACATAAATCATCATATATCTCAGATAGTAAAAAAAGAAGCAGCCAGAGAGCATAAGTGTCTGCCTGGCAAGTGCAAGGTCCTGAGTTCAATCCTTGGTACCAGGAGAAAAAAACAGAGGCAGTAGAGAAAACTGGAGCTCATCAGTGTAAGGACCTCCCTGCAGGGAGGCAACCACTAGGTGTACAGCTAAGCACTGAGCACCTGCTGGGGCAGAGCTGCCTTACACTTGCCTGGCATACAAAGACATGATCAGCAGAATCCATAATGCCAGAGAGCTTACACTGAAATGCCATCGAGAAACCTACCTGGTCATTCACTGAGAGAAGCAATCAAAACCACGGCTTTCCACAGTGATCATAGACGTCCCTGCAAACTGTGACCTCTGCCCACTTTCTTTGTCCTCAAATCTCTGCAGCATCCCTGGCATCTTTAGTCTACATTTTCAGGAAGTTATTTATTATACTAATGGTGCTCTGAATTAAATTTATAAACTTTGCAAGAGGAATTTTTTTCTTTCCTGAAAAGCAAGCTCAGCAATATTTGGGGGCTTTTAGAGCTGATGCTGCAGCTGAGAGAAGGAAGGGGGAGGGCTCAGGAGGATGTAAATAAATAGGAGTCCCTTGTGCTGAGAAGCCACTGCTCGGCTGGAGGAGCGCACCCACACCGCGGGGCAGCATGAGGCTCAGTGCTGCGGCTCTGCTGCTCGCCCTGCTGGTCTGCAGCCTCTCTCCGGGCCAAGGTGAGAACTTGCCCTCGCGCTGAGCTCTCCTGTCAGCAGAAACGCTCTTCAGCTGTTTCCTTTTTTAAAAACTTTCTGTTAAAAATTGGGGAAGTATGAGTAAAAGGGAGAAAGTTGCTCCTAGATTTCTAAACATAAGGTGCTTACGGAAGTGTGGAGTAGAAACTGGAACTTTTATATTAAGATTTTTATTTAAAGAAGGAAGAGATTTTGGCTTGATGTGGCTTGTATTTGGCTTGTGCATTCCTATCCCTTTTCAGACGGTCCCTTGCTGTAATAGGTGAGCCCGTTATGTCTGTTCATTCCACTTTGCACCACACACTAACCCTTTACAGGGTCTAAAATTGTTGGCATCAACTGGTCTCCTGCATGGAGCATTCATCAGTCCTTGTAAGCGCACCAGGGACGAAGAATGCACGTTCTGCCACAAGGCAGACTCTGGAGTCTAAGTGGGGCGCCACGGTGCCACTAGAAACACATCTAGTGTGGCAGTGTTTCTACGGCTGGAGCAAAGGCTGCAGGCATGCAGACACCATCCAGGTGCAGAAGATAAGTTTTTATTCTTACAATGCAGTGCTCCCTCCATTTTTATTTTGCTTCCCATGTAATTTTTCCTCTCTAGAAACTTCCATTTCTCTCTCCTGGTGCATGAAGCTTTCGTACTGCTCCTGACAAGTTCATTAGCAGCGCAGATGCAGTGCAGAGATTGGCAGGAGTATCACCTTCTGTGGTGTTTGCTTACTTGTTCTCCCCCTACACAGTGAAGCCCTGCAAGTTTGGGCCATTTTATTTATAAATACCTGTCAAACAGAGTGGTCGGCACTGTGGATAAACAGGCTTTGATAAATATCTTTTTAAGAAAGGCAGATTCCATTGAAATGTAGGAGGTGAGTCACTTATAGAAACTATCTCTACTAACAACTTTTATTGTTGAATGAAAATAGTCTTGAATTTTTATAATTGTTTTTTTCCCCCAGATAATGATTTGCAACTGAGATAGAGAAGCAACATATTTGGTATTAAATAAATTCCCCAAAACAGAGAGCATCTTTTGTGGCATTTTTATCTAGTAAAGAGTGGGGTAGGGGAGATAAGAGAGAGAATCTATCCCAGACGTTTTCTGCAGGCATTGCTACAAACCATGACTCTGCCCTCATGTGCTGGCGCTGAAGAGTCGTCAATTCTATGTTGCCTTAACCATAGCTGAGTCTAGGGAAAGTAATAGTTATCAATTTTTATTATACAAATAATCACTTAAATAGTAATATAAAGTTGACCACAATTTTAGTAAGCATTATGCTTCTTAAAAACTACTTTTATGTTTAAGGTTTCAGTAGAATATATTTTTATATTTAAAAATATATTCTACTGATTGCTGAGATTACGGGTGTGCGACAGCTGATCGGAAATTTTCAAATCTTCAAATGCAGAGTATGGATGCTTGCTTCAGAGTTACAAATTCTCAGCCAAAAGAGGTTAAAATAACTAGTTCTGTGTTTACAGGTATTCTGGAGGCCTATAACACGAACTTGAAGTGTAGATGTAAGAAGGTAACCTCTCGCATCTTCCGCCCGCCCCACATTCGTCAACTTCAAGTTCGAACCCCTGGGAATGGTTGTCCAAACACCGAAATCATGTAAGTTGCAAGAAAAAAAAATAAGTAAATATGATTCCTTTCTCCCAGTGAAAGTCAGATCAGATGTTGCCATAAGGGCTGATAATAATCTGAAGAATTTATTCAAATGTTGCTAAAATTCTGAAACTAATAATGAATGCCAGTAAGATTTAAGGAGTGCCTTTGCAGCATCTGTGATGAAGTGCTTTATACTGGCTTGCTCCTTCATTTTTCTCTTTCACCTGCTCCTTTAAGGTGTGCCTATTGTTCGACCTGTTATTATTAACAATGCAGACAGAGCCAGGTGTGGTGGTGCATTCCTGACTGTTACTACAGAACTCTGGAAGCTGAGGTAGAAGGACTGCTATGAATTTCAGGCCAGCCTGGTCTACATGGCAAGACCCTGTCTAAACAAAACACAGCAAAAGAAAGAAGAGACTTGGGCGGGGGAGATGGGGCGGGGAAGATGGCTCAGTGGAATAAGCACTTCCCTGGCAAGCGCAAGGGCCTGAGTTCAATCCCTGGTTACACACACACACACACACACACACACACACACAAAAAAAAAAAAAAAAAAAAAAAAAAAAAAAAAAAAAAGAAAGAAGAGACTGAAGGAGGCTAACTCACTACCTGGGACCCACCACAAGGAGAGGGTGGAGCCAGGGCTGCACCCATGCTCACTCTAGTCCCATGCCTCTTCTCACACCTTGAAAGGTGTAGTCCATATAACCTCCTTCTCCAGGCATCTCTGGCTTTGTTTTTTTTTTTAGTTACTCTTCCTGGGAATATCTTTTTTTGTTTTGTTTTGTTTGTTTTATGTTTTTTGTTTTTGTTTTTGTTTTTGTTTTTGTTTTTGTTTTCAGAGCCAGGGATTGAACTCAGGCCCTTGCGCTTGTCAGGTACGCGCTTATTCTACTGAGCTACCTCCCCGGAATATCTTTTCCCGGAAGTGCTGGAGATGGAACTCAGAGCCTTGCACACACCAAGCAAGCACTGTATCACTGAGCAACAGCCCCAGATCCCATGAGCTTCTTCAGGCTTTTGGAATGTTTTCAATCTGCTGCTCTTTGTTTGTCCTATTTTGATAGCAATGATTTGTGCCTACCTTGTAAAATAGAACTATAGGATATCAAAAATGTATATGGAATTTTTCATTAAAAAGGCATTATAGTTTCACCCATGTCCTCACTTATGAGAATTCTAAGGACAATTATTTCCCACAAAGATAGGAAGTCTAGACGTGCCACACGTGGAAGCAGTTCTCCTGGCTGTACAACCTCTCTGTAACTTCTCTCAATTTCCTTTCTCACCTCTCAACATGGGGAAGTAATACTCCCTAATTTTCTCTGCTTTAATGTCATCCTTTTGAAATATGAAAAAATGTGACTACACCTTCTTGTCAAATTCTGCCTTTATAAATTTCAACCAGATATAGAAATGAAAGCTATGATTTTTTTAAAGGAAAAACTCAAACCCATCATAAGCAAAAACACCAGATAGTTTGAAATGTTTTTTCATCATGAAATCAGAAAGGAAATTCAAAGATCTCCTGAGAACCCACTCTATGACCTATGACTTCCAAGTTCTGTGTCACCTGCAAAGGTGGAGTTGAGAAGTTCAGCGGATAAAGCCGTTTGTGTGCTGAGTTACACAAACGGCTAAGATAACTGATGTGCAAAGAAATCATGTTCTGAGGTCCTACCAGTAAAGCCTCAAGCCTCCCCATTTTCAGTCTCCTGGAAGACCATCTTTTTGCCACAGGTAGGGCCCGTCATTTCTGGCCCTTAGTAATGATTCAGGTCAGGCTTGTAGAAAGCAGTGGCAGAAGGTGTGAGTCCTGAAATTTTAAGTCTTTATTTGAATCTTCTTCTGTCCTGCATTTGCTGTGCAATCTTGAATGAGTTCTTTGAACTCTCTAAGCTTCAAGATCCTCATCAGACAGTGAAGACATAACAGTTTCTCCGGCACAGAATTTCCATGAGACAAATTCAGGTGGTTCACGGTTACCTTCCAGCACATGTGGCATGTAGTGTGGGATGGTATTTGACAATCATGACCTGGTAGCAATCATTGCTGCTTTTGTTTAGCCTAATTTCTTAGAACAGGGCAAGTCTGTCTAACTGCTGGCTCAACAGCAGCCAAGCTCTACAGCCCCTCCCACCTTAAATTTTATTGATTTTTTTCAGATAAAAGATCTTTTGTGGAGTGTTTTCTATAACCTGCTTTATTCATTCATTCATTCATTCATTCATTCATTCATTCATTCATGCACTTGCTCACTCATTTTGCCATACTGGAGAATGGACCCTAGGCCTTTACACTAAACCTTATCCTTAGCCCTTACCTCCCTTGCTCCCTCCCTGTTTTCCTTCCTTTCTTCATTCCATTCTCTCTTTTTTTTTTCTATTCTTTTGTTTTTAGAATCTTAATAAATCACTAAGTTGCCCAGGCTGAGCTTAAACTTGTGATTCTCCTGCCTCAGCCTCCCAGAATGCTTGAACTACAAGACTATACAGGTCATCACACCCAGCTAACAAGCATATTGGAAAGATACCATATTGTGATATAACTTCAGAAGTAAGCTGGCTTCAGGGCCTGCTATTTGATCCTTCTCTAAGTCATGAAAGTTTTCAACCAAACACTGATCTCTAATGTGAGATTCTGTCCACTTTGGATTCATCTACTAACTGTCACCTATCAGTCCACAAATAATCAGGCTTCAGGTTTTCTAACATTCAGGCTGCCTGCCATAAGTCACCTATTTCAGATCCAAAACTTCCCAGCTCCACTTACACTTCATCTAAGAATCATTTTCATAACAAAAATGTTTCTATTATTTAAACATGAAAGATTGACCAAGATGTATTAGTCTTTCACTTTTAATTTCATTTTTTAATCATCATTCATTTATTCATTAATATGTTGTCAAATTCAGTTTTCTATACACTATGAGGCTTATTCCATTTTGTACTATTAGATACACATACTTAAAAATATTTAACTCATTTTTATGAGGAAGTTAAATATTTTCTGAAAAAAGCCATTTGTTACTGCTCTCTACCAACAAGCTTGAAACAACTTTCATTCAAATCACCTGACTCATTTAAACACTCGGTCCAATGGCAGCATCTCTGAAGGCCTAGTGTACACAATTCTAGTCTACAGAAAACACTGTTTTACATGGTTACATGGTATATAATTAAAGGACATTTTTGTAATGAACATTTTCTCTTTGATGTGAAACATACAGTTTCTCCATACACCCCTTCAGTCACTCAAATAGATTAAAAATGTATCCTCCTTTAAAAGGCACATGCATTTACAGGTTCAAATCTTTGTTGTTTTAAAAATTGTACAGGTCTTTTACAATACAATATCTTGTTATTTAAATGACCTATAAATGGTTATTCATTAATTTTTTCTTTTTTTTTTTTTTTTTTTTTTTTTTTAGAATCCAGTTGAAGACTACGTCAATTGTATGCTTGAATCCTCAAGCCAAATGGGTGCAGCAACTTTTAACATTTATAGAAAGGTAAGTCAGGCATACCCAGGGCTTTCAGACTCCCATTCATAACTAGAATTTGCCTTTGCCTTTGCCTTTCCTAGACAGCCAAAATGTGCGTTCGAAATGTGTAAGTTCTAAGACAAATGCGTGCTTTCGCTCCCCCTTCTGGTCACACAGAGTGTGGGAGACCGTTCCCCCAATTCAGAGAGCTGAATGGGAAACTAGCTCCTTACTTGCTATCTCTGCGGGAGAGCTGCAGTTTCTTTTTGGTGTTTTTCTAAATGTGAGCGTTTTTCCTTTTGTGTTTGCTTCACAGAAGAAAATTGCGTTCAACTGCACCAGCTCCAGTGACGAAGAAGGGTTCCTGATTCAACATGCCCCCTGAGAATACCTGCTACGCTGGACTTCAGTTTCTTTCTTGGTTGAATTTTTTCCAAGAAAAATAATTTCTTTGTATAAACAAGCATGAGGCTGTCTGTGAAAGTAACCTTACACAATTTGATGGAGTTTCCATTCTTATTCTTGAAGGAGGAAAGGTTCTTTGGGGAGAGTTTAGTTATAACTCACATAGGATTTGTTGAAAATATTCCGAAAAAAAATTGTTGTTTAATGCTAAACTTTCCTAAGACAAAAGAATAGGAATTTGAACCTCAAATATAAATATGTAACTTGAATCAAAAAAAATTGTCAATCATTTTCTATCCAAACAAAAGTAAATTTCTGGGCCGGTGAGATAGCTCAGTGGTCTACAGCGTCTGCTTAGGCAAGCTTAGGCAGGTGCGGGGACCACAGTTTAATCCGGACACCACATGCCACAGTAGCCCTGCCCTCAGGGTGGGCTGAGTCGGCCAAAAAAAAAAAAAGTAATTTTCCTTGGAAACCTGAAAAACTATATGGAGAGTCAGCGTGACAAGGTCCAGAAGGTTCACAAAGCAGATATGAAAACCACTTTGGAGGGAGACAGGGTGGCACTCCTACTTTTAAAGAATTCCTTTAAAGATATATTGTCTCAAATTAAAATGAATAACATTGGAAGATCCTCAGACTTAAGATTTTAGAATGTATAGGAAAAGCACTTGAGGGGTAATGTTTGACTGCATTCTTTTACACATCCATCTTAATGAACTTTTTTATTCACATCTTTTCCACAAAGTAACAATCCCTGGTATCAAATTCTATGTTTCCTATTCATCTAATGCTAGTTAATAAACTTGAGCAAACATTTTACTTCATTATGATCAGTTCATTCCATATGAAACATTTATTCAAGTTATTTGGAGGCTCTTCACAATGCAAAGTAAAATTTGAACTTGCTGGGTTTTTTCTTTGCATGACACAGATCTAAAATTGCAGCAGGGCTGGAGGAGTTGCTCTGCGGGAGTGCTGAACTGTGGGAGCCTCTTTCCCTCATCCTGGTGCTAAGCAGGATTCCTCAAGACTCTTATTCAAACCCATTCTCACTGTCTCTTTATGTTGATTCTTCAAGTCTCCTATGTTTTATGTGACAAAGTTTCACACTGAATTTGACAAGCAGCAGCAGAAGACACTTAAACCTCCTCCTCCATTCCCACCACTGCACCGAATTTCATTAATTGTTGGTTCCTCTCATCCGTCCCCAGCTGCTATGGGGGGTGAGGAGGTTATTCCTAGCACCAGACATTCTAAGCTCTCTTTGCCTCCCTCTTTCATTTCTCTCTCTATGGTTGGTTTATTTTCATTAAATAAATGTCTTGGGAGGGAATAAAATGTAACTATAAATGCTATATTTTGTGTGGGCTACATTTTTATTACAGATGTATGCAATGGGATTATAAAATGTCATAATTCAGCAACCTAGGGTTTTTCAGACTTCAGTGTTTAGAGATCAGAAATAATTTTTATGCTTTGATTTTGGTCTTAGAGAATGTAGCTAGACGTATACTTAGGAGCCTCAAAAAAGAACTATGGCCATTTCCCCTGAGGTTGTTGGCACCCTCCCACATACACTCTTTATTGCAAGAGAAGTTAGGACCCAGTGTAGTGAGAGAACTGATGTCCAGCCTTACACTGCTACGTGACAAATGCAAAATCTGTGCTTCTAACCACGAAACAACGCTGATCTAGGAGGGAGACGCCATCAGGAGGAACTGAGGCAAACAGACATTTACTTTCCCAATTCACATAACTAGTAAGAGACAAACAAGAATTCAAACAAGGCCATCTGACTCCTAATTGGATGATCTGAATCAATACACCAGATTGCATGCAGTTTTCTTTTCCCTAGCTACATTTCCAACCTTCTCAGGGTCAATGAAAGCCAGGGGGTATTGCACAGTGCAGTACCTCTAAGTACTATATATAATATAATATATATATTAAACCAAAAGAAGAGTTTGAACATTTTTACTAGGAAGAAATGATAAATATTCCCAGCGATGTGCTTGCTCTGATTTGAACATTACACAACACATGTATTAAAGCATCACATGGGCCTCAATAAATATGTACAGTGTTTATGTATCAATTGAAAAGAAAGGGCTAAAGGAATTAGGGAAGTTTCAGGCTTCCCCGGGTCAGGCATCCAGTGCGTGTGGTCCCGTCCTAGAGGGATCCAGGCAGCTGTGAAGCAGTGAGGCAGGACAGATGTGCAGAAGGAAACAGGACAAGGCCAGAGAGGGTGTCAAAACTGTTTATTACCATTCAAACACTCATTTCTCAACAGTCACAGTAGGTTGAGAGGTAGTAAGACTTACGATGTGGAATGAGGAGCTTAAACCACAGTTAGAGGAGGGAAACTTGATGGACCAGTTAGTAGAGGGTCTGACAGAAGGTTTGGAAGGGAAGAATTGTGGTTTAAGGCAGAATTTGGGTTATTATAACTATATAACTATATATATATATATATATATATATATATATATATATATACACATATATACACACACACGGTAATTAAAACTCAAAACAAATAAGGTTGAAGGGAAAATACAAGGTAATGCTGACCCAAACAAAATACCTGAGTCTGAGAAAATGACCAAGGGTGCTAGCGGCAAAGCTGCACAGGCTTTCCTGCCAATTGAGGCAGAACATCTGAAGCCAGTGATGCTGAGCCTCAACCACACCATGCAGACCCGTCCCAGTGACAGAGGCTGCTCCAATGGAAAGGCGTGGCCTTGGCCTCACTTTGAAATGGCTTGTTCCACTGTTTCCCACTGTCCATGTGCCTTCCTCTTGCCTACAACATCCCATCCCCTTCCTTTCAACCAGCTGCCTCTCACTACAACATGCTGTTCTCCTGCTTGTAAGTCTATGGAAGGGTCCATGCATATCCCAGGGTTTTCTTGTTCTCCCATAAAATCTGGTGTTATTTTGGAGTAGAATTAATGTGCTGGCCTATAAACAAATTCAGTGGAACTCAGAAGAAAGAAGAGGCTCCTGAAGTCAGAAAGGTGATGCTTGAAAGCAAAATCAAACCATTTGAGACCCAGAATAGACTTCTCTGCATGTGCTCTGAGAGAACCACCCACCATCCCAAATCCTTGTCCAAATACCTCTCCTCCTGCCCCTCCCCAGACCCATTGAATCAGATTCAGGGGAGCAGCTCACTAATCTGCATTTAACAAACTGTGATAGAATTTTTTTTTAATAAATTGCATTTAAGCTTTGTCTCTGGTTCCTGACAGAGAGCTCCTAAAACCTCTAGAATTCCTAGTGGGACAGAAATGTCTTTCATAATGAAGCTTGAAAAACATTGCTCAGCACTCTAGAGCCATCTATTAAGTTTCTTCTTATATCTGGTTAAGGTGTAGCTTATATACAACACAATTAATCTTCTTTGAGGTTTCAGTTCTGTGAGTTGGTTAGGAAGCTCAGGTGCTGTTTTGTCCCTATAGGTTTATCTTTTCCACTATACAATGCATAGAAAAGCTACCATACAACGTACTGCCTGGTTTGGGTCACTTGTGCTTTGCATAATAATGTTGGGATTTAATCATATTATTGAATGTACCACCAGTTGTTCCTTGCTGTTACCATTATTACTTTGTAAGGATATCCCACAATTGACTTATTCACCAGTGGATAGATTTAAAGTTGTTTCTGCCTTGGGACTACTATGAATAACTCTGTTGTCAACACTCATACATTGGTCTTTCTGCAAATACACAGTTTTGTTTGTCTCTAGTAAAGGAGAAAACCTTTACTCTTTGGTAGATGCTTAGGAGTAAGGTTTCTGAGTCAGATGGTGTGTTTAACTTTAGGAGAAGCAGTTAAACTATTTCCTCAGAACTGATATACTATACCAATAAAACAAAAAATAAGAAGCTAATGTACCATTTTGAGTCCCCATCCACAATATGAGAAGGCTGGGTTATTCACATCTTCTCCAGCACTTACTGTCATTGATCTTTTAAGTTTTAGACATTTTCAATAGGTATAAAATCTCTTATAGTCTTAATTTGTTTCTCTCTATCAGCTAATAATGTCAAGCAGCTCTTGTGTTGTACTTGAGATTGATATATCTACATTAAAAATCTACTTTGTATGAAATCTTTTTTTCATTCAGTCACACTGCTAAAGTTGCCAGAGAAATTGACCACATGTGCATGCGTCTCTCTGGACTGTCTATTGTCTTTCATCAATTTTTCTGTCTATTCTTGTCCCAATGTCATGTTACTGATTAATATAGTTTAATGTCAGCCTTTAAATTCTGTAGCAGAAATCTTCCAACTTTGTACTTTTCCAAAAGTGTTTTGGCCATTCTAACTCCTTTGCTTTCCCATATAAATATCAGAATCACCTTACCTATGTTTATCTCCAACCCACCCCCCAACACCCAAAAATGGATTTTGAATGGGATTGTGTTGAATTCACCAGCCAATTTTTTGGGGGGATGGTGACATTTCAATAATACTGAGTCTTCCAGTTCATGAACAAGGTATATCTCTCCCTATCAGACTTCTTTGATTTTCCTCAGCCATGCTTTTTAAGTGCTCACATTCAGATACTGTAGTTCCCCAATGCCAAACTACAAGCTGTAGCTTTTGTAGGACATTCAACTGTAGAGAAAGACACCTGTGGTTGCTACTTATCATTCACATCATTTGAAAAGTGGCTTCCCAATTTTAATCAAACAATATTTCTCCTTCTCTCACAAAAACAGGACTGAATCACTCCTTTTGGATGGAAGACCCAAAACTTTCCCTCGGTAGATATATATGTCTGCTCAAATCTCCTCCCATTCTTCTCAGTTACCTTTCAGCACATTAGGGTTGGTACCCACCCTCTTCACTGTGTGAAAGTCAAGCTCTCTGCTTATGTTTTAAATCACATCCCTTCTCACCATCTCAGACACCACATGCCATCAATTGTTCTCAGTTCTCCTAAATAATCACACCCTTGCAATTAGTCCTCTCTCATACCATGTAAAAGCAGTGTAACCCTTTCTTAAAAGCAAAAGTAAACAAAAAGCTTCTGCCTGGTCACTTCCTGGACAAGGACTGACCTTCTCCAGTCTCGTAGTCCATGGTATCCTCTACATTAGGATTCCTCACCGTCACTTACCCAAAGCAGGGGTCCATCAGTTCACCAATGACCATGATAAATCAGTATCAGTCAACTAGCTCTCAGCAATGCTGGTTGAGTTCAGGGTTTACAATTTTTTTGTCCATATGTTTTCAGGTCAGCTAAGGATCATCTGACTCAGTTGAGTCTGACAGGGAATAACTCAGCCATTTGCTAGGTGCAGATCTAGCCCCTGTGTCTTCCATTTAAGGGAACCCAATGGTATTCAGCATCTATTCTTATCATGGTAACGATGGATATCCAAGAGAATTAACCAGAAACATACTATGCTTCTTATAACCTGAGCTCGGAATTATCAACATGTCTTATACACTCACAATCTTTCAAATTGACCAAAAAAAAAAATTGTACGTAGTTACAGGGTAAAATGTGATGTTATGTTATGTGTATACATCATGGAATGAGTAAATCCAACTAATCATCATATCTAGCATATTTAGCATTTCTTTGGTGAGAATTTTTAAAATTTTCTCTTGCAGCAGTTTAAAAATATACATTATTAACTATAATCACTATGCTTAGCCAAAGCAAGTCATATGGACAAACTCAATATTAGTGGTTTGGAAAATTTGTCTCACCCCTAGCATAATTAAAATATCATAGGGCAAGGACCCCAGAGAAAGGCAAAGAGTTGGAAAAAATATAATTTTGTCATCATTGCCAACTATAGAAGCCCTTATTTCTTGCTCATTTAAGAGAGCTCAAAAGTACTTTTTAGGAATGAAAGATTCATTCACAAAGTTTGTCCCCTTTTTTACAGCTTAGACCTAAAATGTCCCCCAAAATTATCTTGTTTGGGGAAGGTGATTGAG